AGGGCTCCCTTTGAAACAGGTTGTGTACATCCAACGGGTTGCTTCCACTGTTGGAAATACGGAAGAGTGTTGGTGCCGCTCTCCTGGGTTCATTTTTTTTTATCAGGGTGTTTGAAACAGGACTACTTAAAACAAGAAAGAAGTCACTGTTGACCAGCAGTTTCCGACTTGCAATATTTCACGTACTCACTCTGTCAGTCGCTAAATGGAGAGAGCAAAGTTACGTGGAGGGCCATGTTGTACACAGTGTCGCTTCATGAATTATTGGGTTTGATGAGGCTTGCTTTGGCTTCCTGTCTCCTCTTCCAAATTTGCCCATTGGGACCCTGGTGCCAAAATTTGTTTTCTTCAGCCTTATGGTTGCTCAGCAAGAAGTCCCTTTTGCATTAAATGCACACATTGAAGGGAGACAGCATGAGAGCAAGCGAGGCCAAGCCATATTGGTTGTTTTCCTCTGTCAGGCACTTAGTGGCGTCCAGAAATTCTTGCTCCTTTCCCCCCAAGTTAAGGCGCAGCTGACACACACCCCGAGGAGACTCGCTCTCCTCCTCTTCCTCCTCATCCTCCTCTTCCTCTTCTTCTCCCCGCTGAGGAGCAGAGGTGCCCGTGCAGCCTCCTGTCCCCCTGGGTCATGTTGGCGAAGGGGCTCGCGGCGCTCGGAGGGAGGGAGCCCACAGCACCCGGACGAGGCTGTGAGCCTTTCCCGTGGGCCCTGTGGGGCATGTGGATTTTCCATTGAGGTGCCTGGGCAGTTTATGTTTCATTAGGTTCAAGCCACTTCTTTCCCAGTATTTCTGGCCCCATTCTGGCATGTTGTGTTGAAACATGGGTGCTGTGTCATCTTTGTAAGCGTATTCTCCAGTGGCAGCGTTGTGGGAGTTTGGCTGCAGATGCCACTTTGTCACTGCAGCCTTGCCCCTCTCCACACACACACCCCCATGAGCAGCAGTGACGGTGACATTTCCATACATGTAAATATTGGGGGGTGAGCGGGTAGGGGGTTTCCCGATCTTAATGAGGGATAATGCGAAAAGACCGTTATTTACAATGAGAGATAGTTTTATTTTTGTACTTTGAGACATTTCTTTTTATGTGCCAGAGGCTTCAGCATTTCGGGATGCTGAAATTTTATTTTATTTCTCTGTTTTCACATCAGCAAGCATTGCCCCATAATGACTCATTGTTGACACTACAAGGCTTAGCTATAGAAAGAGGCAAAGCTACTCAGGATTGCTTAGGTTTCTCCTGCTCTTAAATATTTCATTTGTGTTAAAATGAAGAGACTTGGATTTGCTTTAAATGAAAGATAGTGTGTTGATATGAAATTATGACTGATTGGTCTTAGTAAACCTACTGATGGGATTAATTTTCATCAGTTTTGTGAAACTTGGTTTGGAAAGAAAAATCAGGGTGTGAGAGCTGAAAACCACCAGTGGTCATGGCACGTGGCCCTTCTCACCTATAGGAGGGCCCAGATTCAAACCACCTATTGCAGACACCAGCTTCAGGGATTTTGGTGGTGCCTGTCCTTAACCAACCAGCCCAGAGCACTTGACTTGGGTCTCTCTCAATGTCCCTAAATGAGCAAAGGGATTAGGAAGTTTCAGGGAGGAACTGGCCTCTCTTCATTATTTCTCTTTGGAGCTCAGGCCAGTTCATTGCTCCTAAATACTAATGGGAAACAACAGACATATAAGCATGCCCAGCGTGATTCCCAAATCAAAATATCAAGTGTCATTTTGTGACGAGAGCACAGAGCACCGTATGGTGGTTAATCCTGCACCATGCCTGCAGTCATGGAGCTCTGTGACAGGGCCCCTGGCATCAGGCAGTGCCCCTTAGGAGCTCGTTACACCAGTTTAAATGCATTTGAGAAGGGGCAGTTTTGTCCCAAGAAGGTGGATCAGGTATTGCCTGGCTGCCGCAGCCAGCATAAATCGTAAAGCCAAAGAACAGTTACATTGTGCTGAAGCTATTTAAACAGAAATAGCAACAAGCCTATGTCTGATCCAGATCAGTTTTTTGCTGCTGGCAAGTGGCAGCTGGCAGATGCAGGATTCCTGAGGACAGACCGCGTTGTGGAGCATTTAAAGGCTTGCCTGCGTTTTAACACAAGGCCCTTTTTTGCCCATTTTGACTCAAAAAAAGCTCAAGAAGCGAACTCACTTGTACACCTAAAACAAAACACTTAGGTAGAGCGAGGTAGAGTTGGTCGTGGATATGTACCGGTGCCAGGAGCAGTCCCCGGTGGCGTGCGGTGAGAAGGAGCCCTGCTTCCTGCAGACCTCCTGGCATCATCCCCGGCTCCCAGCCCTGCCAGCATGCAGATTGCTTCTCTCATCCTGCTGGAGGAGAGCATTTTTGTCCCACCAGGGCAGTCTCTAGCTTGTTCCTCAGCTCTTGCCTCACCCTAGCTTCACAAAACCTCTAAATACCCCTCAGTCAGACTAATCTTGCCTTTGAAAGGGAGTAGCAAGGGCAAGAAAGCCAGCTCGCTTTAAGGCGGATCATTATTAACTAATTGGATTACAAGATCTATCTGCCTGCGATAGGAGGAGACTGGATTCAGTGACCCGGCCACATGCCTTCCTCTCCTGAGGTCCTAAGTTCAAGGAGAAGCTTGAGAAGTCACCAGAGCAAAGCAGGGTGCAGGGGAGGCTAAAAGGCACAGGTACATCTTGTGGGCGCCCCTCCACCTCTCTTGTCCTCCCTTATGCATTTGTCCTCCGCTTTTCTCCTCTCTCATTTGCAGAATTGTCATCTCTGACCTGCATCTCTACATGTAGGGTTGTGGGAAGGTGGAGACTGAGCAGGAGGTCACAAGTCGGAAAGGGGACAAAAAAAGATGTATGTGTGGCCTGACAATAAAAAATGATGGAATAAGCCCTGGTTCATTCTCCAGTTTACTTCTCATCTTTAATTAGGTCCATTGCAAGTATACAACAAAGAGTGCCCTTGAATTCCCTGCTATTGAATTCCTCCCACAAGGTATTTGTGTGTTTACCGTTCTGTTCTTACCACACTGCTCTCAGTGTCCTCCACCGTAGGCTTATAGGGAGGCACATGGTGGCCCCAGCACCAAATTGTGTTTAGTTGCAAAAGCACAGCCCTAGGAGCAACTTTGTGGCTAGGTTATGGCCCTATGTGTTTTTACATGCATTTTTATCTTTTGGGTTTGGAGTCCTTAAGATATTTTTTTCTAGGATATTTTCAAGCACCTGTATTGCCCTGACTAAAACCAACCAATTTTAACATATCAGAGAATGTTCAGCTTATCACATTCCTCGAAAAATTAAAAAGAGCAACAAATATCATAGGATTCTCAATAATACCCGAAGAGTTGGTAATCTGTAATAGTAATGATGCGTCTTAAAGGAACAAAAAAGGACATACACATTTCTAACTGTTCTTTTTATGTGGGCGTATTCGTGGTTATGTGATCAAAATTGGTGTATAATAACTGTATTATTAACTAAATTATTTAACAAATTTTTCTGCTTTAAATTATGTTTCAGTTTAAACACCAAGAAAGTTTCTGACCCAGCTAATTAAAACTTTTACCATAGTGCAAATCAGATGAAGCCACATTCAGTGCTGAATATCATTTACTCATTTCTGTTACATTTTTTTTTTATGCAAATATTAGCTTTTGGAAAAAAATCACTTGTAGCAGCATTTAAATGTTAGGAAAAAATCACTTGTAGCAGCATTTAAATATTAGATATAAATATGTAATTTCTTGTAACAAGATTCAATTTAAGAAAAAATGCACAAGTAGTGAAATAATTAGTAATTATCTCATATGTAAAGTTGCTTTTAATGAATTAGCATTATTTGGGATTAAGGTGTCCTCAGAAGTAGCCCTTCTTTGCCGTAGTTTTCTCTGTACATATATAAGGTGAATAGATAGTTCAGCTGCTTTAAAATCAAATATTAGACATGTAGTGTATACTGTCTTACATAAGTTGTGATTTTAAGAAGCATGATTGGAGTGATGCTTATTCTGCCTAAAGGAGCTAAAAGTTTTAATAATTTCTGTGTTGCTACACATCTGTCTCAGTGCAGTAGTGCTTGTGAGGAATCCTTGCTTTGCTAAGGAGGTGTTTTCTTTACCGTGCATGAAATACAAACAAGAAATCAAGGTGGCCAGTATTACTGAGGTACCTGAGCTGCATGAATGGAAAGCTGATGGAAGAAGCACTGTACTTGTGTGAAGCTGCTATGCTTCCTGCTGGGGTTGGTGCATTTGCTTATTAAATGGACAGTATTTTCAATTTTCATTCATCACGCATTCCTTGATCTTCAGCTGTCAGTAAGAGCTGAGACCACATGGCGTTTACAAACCTTCTGACATAAAAGGATGGAACTAAGTTCACCCAGCATGAGTCACCCCAAAATTAGTTGTCTGTTTGAAGTTACTTGTAGAGATTTTGCTATGTGCAGTATGGAAAAAAGGCATCTTCTAGGATTAACGCTGCTGTTGAACTGAGTCAGGAGTCCAGACAACTGACCTGTCTCAGACGCCCGGCTCCTGGCTGACTGAGGCTAGTGAGTGCCAACCTGCTACCTCCAGATCTACAGCAGAGTCAAAGATTGCTTTTGGAATTTTACTGTAAAATTTACTTTAAAATTGCTATGTTGTTTAAAGCGATGCTCCCCGTTCTGTCTTCTTGCCTTTCTAAGACAGCCAAAATAATGAACTCAAGAGTATAATGAGTTTTTGATAAATGCTGTATAAGTAGTTTTATTGCAGTGGTTCGAGCCCCAGAATGCATTTGCATGGTGCGTGCGTATCGACGCTTTTGCATGCAGTTGGGAATGTTTGTGTTTATCTGCAGTACCACTAGATGACTTTGCAAATCCATCATCTGATTTGTGAGCCTAGGAGAAAACTGTGCCATCCCGTATAAGCGAATAGATGTGTTGTACACCCTAATGTTGTTCTGGGACGAGATTAATTTCAGCACACTCATATTAATCCATTATATGTCTCTTTCCAGCACAAATGGACCCCCGAGGCCTATCTCCCAGACAAATTAAAAGTGACAGTGATGATGACGACCTGCCAAATGTGACCTTAGATAGTGTTAATGAAACTGGATCTACAGCGCTCTCCATAGCCAGAGCAGTACAAGAGTAAGTATCACATTCGCAGAGCGAGATGAGTATTGCCAAGGTGTTCGCTGGCTGATGGAAACGTCAGCTGCTCTGCAGAGGTGTCACCCAGCATCTCTTCTTTAGCTTCATTCCCCTTAGGAAGAGACCACGGGCTCTCTCCCCTCTCATTCCCTTCCCATGTCTTTCTCTCCTCCCTGACTGTTAGCTGAAGTTTCGAAGAAAAGTCAGTCCTTCCCCTTTCTTTACTGGCAAATTTTGCAGGGTTTATATTTTCCACAAAGGGAGATTGTGTTAGGCTTTTCGCTTGAAGAAATTGAAGCTTTTTCCTGACTGAGGGAAGCATCAAGAAGTTTCTTGGAGTTGCTGTCAAATAGGAGCTCCCCACATCTCTCCTGAAGAGTAGCATAATTGAAAGGAAATTAGCAAAGGACTTTGTACAGTTTTTCTATTGCTGTTATTTTTCTCTGTACTTATTCTCCAATACATTATTAGCTTAGCTTTTCTATTATTTTGTTTTTTAAAAAAGAAAAGCATTATGAACATTAGTAATTCTATAGATGCATGTTTGCCCAATCGCTGTAGCAGCTGGAAGGGAACCAACTGTGAGGTAAATAAGTATTAATATCGTCATTTTGTAGGTGAGGAAAATGAGGTTATGTGTAAAGGTCACCCTGTAAGTCTGAAGTAGAGCTGGAAATAGATGTAGAGCCTGGAGGCATTAAGCTTGTGCCAGGCTCACAAAACGTACAGTTATATGAGCGGGTCAAAATCAGGACATTCTGGACACTTTAATAAAAAGGAAGGGATATAAAAACAATTAGAGATTGTTATTATGTAACTTATTATAAGTGCATTTTACCTGTCTTAACCTGATACCTTAAAGTGTTTGCTGTTTTTTGTTTGTGTTGTTTTCTTTTCTTTTCCTGGCTACAAATAGCCAAGAGCACTGATGTTTCCATAGTGGTGCCCTGTTTGCTGAGAGAGAACTAAGCTGCATTTGAGGGAAAACTACTCTTTTCGCGCTAGTTAGGCAGCTGGGACACCGTTAATTCATTGTCCTCCTGAGCAATTCCTCACATTACACATTTCCCACCCCTCCAGAAGAGGAAAAAGAAGAATACTGTGGTCTTGTGTGAGGGAGAGCCTGCGATTTTGGTTCTGCTGTGCAGACCCCAAGAGTTGAGAGCCCCTCGGAGCCTCTGGCATCTCAGGGATGCTTTTCACCATCCACTCATTAATGCACCTCTGGTTCAGTGCCAAAATGATGAGCCCCAAACGTGTATTCCAGCTGGGCAGAGAGGGGGCTCTTTGTGGGCAAGCCAAGGTGTTAGCTCTCACTTTAACTCGTGAGCTTCAGTGTGACGATGGCAAAGGATGGGGAGGACTTTTCACTGGTGACAGCGTTGTTTGATTGACAGGCCTAGGACATATTTTAAAAATGCTGTTTATAACACCAGAACCTAAAGTGCTAAGTATTTTTATTCTCAGTTTGTACCACACATAGTAAGTCAGAAAAAAAAAGTGATTTTGAGCTAAGTAGTTCTATCTAACTAATGACAAGAGGAGGCAGAGGGAGCAAGCAGATACTTTTAATGCATGACTATCTATAAAATAATATATAAGATGTATTATTTTCTGTGATTGATATTGAATATTTACAGAATTGGTTAAAGCATGAAGAGCTTCTTTATAATAATGCCTTCCACAATTTGTGAAGGAAAATGTGCTGAATATCACTTGGCTGGCTCTGGAGTTTAAGAATTAAGTTAAGAAATTTAATAATCTAACATCAACTCATCCTTGTTAGAGGTTTTATTTAAACAGTAATCTGTTAGTTTATTTGAAAAGCCTCATTAGGAAAATCTAATTTGACTCTGATCTGTGATTTGTCTTTTCTTTACTCTGCGCTCAGTCACAGATACTCCACGTACAGCTGCTGAGCTGAAAGGAAACATTAGCACCTTATACCAGCCCTGCTCAATCCATTTCATTCTTGGTCTGTAGTGTCACAGAATCACAGAATGGCTGAGACTGGAAGGCACCTCTGGAGATCATCCAGTCCAACCCCCCTGCTCCAGCAGGGACACCAGGCAGAGGGTTGCATCATGCCTTATGGGCTCCATTCTGTATAATTTAGGTATCTGATAGGTACCTTAATACTAGCTATTTAGCAAAGCAGTCCACCTAAAATAAAAGGATGCGTTTGAAGGACAATCCTCACAGAGAAGGAAGTGCACTTGAAGCCATCCAAAGGGAGAGCCTGTGCTCTCCCTCTCTGAGCCTTTTACTTAAGCATCTAAACTTGGCAGACAGGAATTCCCTCTGAAGACACTGAAATGCATATACTGTGGTACTGAAATTCAGACATGCAGGGGCGTGCATAAAAGGACTGCAGTAAATCTTGAGTATAAACTAAATGTCCGAGCTGGGCAGGCCGGACCTCGCAGTCTCTAAGATTGTCCCATCTAACCTGCTCTTGCTTAAGTGAGCTCGTTAAGTTTTCCCTTGTGAATAGTTACGCAGTTAACAACAAAAAAACAGCCTCTTTCTTACTGAAAAGGAATCTTGTCCTCTTAAGAAATAATGTCTTGGAAGTACAGCATGGCGCCTCCAAAAGCGTGGCAGCCTCCTCTGCCACCTGAGCTCTGAGAGTGCACAAGCACCGGAGCCCCCAGGGCCAGCGTGGGGCAGGCGAGGGGCCCCGGGCCTTGTCTTGCAGACGCCCTCGCGTTCTCCGCATGGGGACTGTGGCCGTGGGGTCCAGCTGGCCCTGCAGACATCTGCAGCGCAGCCACCTGCGTCCCTGCGGGCCTCCTGCCACGTGCGGGTGCTGGTTCTTCTGACCTGAGCTGGATGTCTCACTTGGAGAGAGGGCCGAGCCCACGAGCACCTTCTCCTCGTCACTGAGTAGAGGCGACCAAGGCGGCTGTCCCAGCCCCATATGTCAGCACTGTGGGTCTCCAGTGTTGGATGAGAGGATAGGTCATCGTTTTGGATTCCTCTTCAGGAGTCGGCATGCCTAAAGGTTGAGACCAGTAGGTGTTTGCTGACTGCCCCCACATCTGTCTTCTTACAGTCTAAATCTCCTAGGTGGGGTTGGCGACATCGAAGTTTTAACAGTAAGGTAAAGAGACTGACTTGTCAGTAGCTTTTTTTTTTTTTAGTATATGAATATTTTAGGTTTGTTGTCTTGGAAATTACCTTTACATGGCTGAGTCACTGTTTGGAACGCCTGTATGAAACAGTGTTTTGCATGTCCTCTAAAAATGAATGTGTCTTCCTGTCTTGCTGCTTTGTTTCAGGTTCGATATAGTCTTGCATGAAAAGAAATCTTACCCCTGCAAATTAAGGCAATCAAATACCAAAAGTTGCATCTCCAGTATTAGTTCATATTTACTTGAATAGAATAGAGTTTACTTGAGTACTGGTAAAATAACCAAGTATGGCTGTTTCCTCATGCCTTCTTATATTGACTGAGCATCTTTCTAGTACTTCCTTTGGATAGATCTTCCTAGTCATTTTTCAGTTTCAGCAAAAACTCACTCAATAGTATAAAGTTATAAATAAAGTCATTATTTGAAAAAAAAATATTTCAGTGAATTTTCTTTATATGAAAGTGTTGCTCTATGGCAGTTAACTATTCACTGCTATATTATGGACTAAGAATAATATACTAATCTCTGATAGTTTGCTCTGGCTGATAATAAATTTTGCAGCAATATGCAACTTTTTTGAACTGTAAACAGCATCTCGTCTGCCACCTTTTTGTGGCATGCTCTACAGACTCGTTGTGACATAGCCCCCTGACAAGGCGGATCTGCTCCTGTGTGCCTCACGGCACCGTTGCCTGTTGCACAGCCAGAGTAGCGTCCTGCGCTCAGGGTCAGACCTCAGGTGTGCTGTAGAAGCACTTCTTTGTGCAGTCAGGGGGAGAGGAGCATCTCTCCACCCCGGCAAGAGCAGTAGAACTTTGTGAGGTCCCCCTTGGAGGCAGGATGCTGAGTCCTCAGCCCCACAGCCATCCCACCCCTGGGAAGCCCCCATGCAGCGGGGCTCAGGGTACCCCAGGAGCTTTCACCATGGGCACAGTAACGCGAGCCCTGAGCAAGGTGCTCGTCCCCATTAGCCAGCACAATAAAATGTTGTTGTTTTACAGTGGGCATCTCTGTTCCCCCTGAAAACGGACGACATACATACAGGATTTCCTACCTGCTGAGGCCAAGGACAGGATTGGGATTATTAGTATGAGCTTGTCATCAGTGCTGTGGTAAAAGCCAAAGAGACAGAAACTCCTCTTTCTCTCTAAACTCTTTTCTATTATTTAGGCAACGTAGGTAATCCTACAAAGAATTAAAGAGCAGGGAACCCCTTTGATGAAGCATTTTTCTCTCGCTAATAGCAAAGAGAGTCAGCGCGCGTTGAAACTGGTGATGCCCAAGGTAGCTCGTGGGTTTTCTGGGATGATGGAGTGACAGGAAATTCACTGTGGAAATCCTTGTAGTTAGAGGCGCGGTGAAGTCACAGAAAGCTGCTTTGGCATTTGGATGTGGGTGTGTTGACTCTTCCTTGCTGGGCACTTAACGGTGTGACATTGTGTCTAGGGGCTTCCTCTCAACCCCCTGCTGCTCTTTGGATGTGTAATGTGATTGACATGAGGCTAACGTGATCACCTTAATTTTTACATATATCTGATTTTTCATTACTGTGATACAGTGGAAGATAGTATTTACTACTGTACTAATGAGAAGGAAATTCCACAGCTGATAAATGACGTAACTACTGTACCAGCTTAGTATTAAACTAGTGTGTAGTTTTCAAGTCTGTTTTTTTCTCCTTATTTCTCTTTTCTTCTGTCTCTTCATCTTCAATTTAAATCAATTTCTGTAACTGATTTTTATCTCTTGAAGCTTATAACTGTGTTCCTATCAGCTATTCATTTTCTGCACTTCTATTGACCATTTTCCTGCTTCAGTGCCAACCATTACTACCGCTGTGCTATTCATCATAGAGAACTTTCA